ATTAATCAACCGTAAGGCATTACAACAACAATATATAGCTGTGGTTGTGTGAGGAAACTTGTTGTGCTTTTCTCTTTGACGGTTTTCTTCCTTTTTATTTTTTGGAGGGGTGTCTTTGGAGTTCATATAGGCTCTTAGAGCTCTCGTTTCGTACACCACTGTGTAGAAGGAGACTAAGGAGCGCGTATCTATTCTGTGGGATGGCGATTGAGTTCATTCTCCTCGTGAATAAGCAAGGACAGACGCGCCTAGCCCAGTATTCGAACTTTATGTCTATTGCTGAGCGTACAGCTCTTGAGGGTGAGGTTGTGCGGAAATGCTTGCAGAGGCGCGAAGCAGACTGCAGCTTCCTAGAACACCTGCATTACAAAATAATATATCGTCGCTATGCATCTCTCTTCTTCATTGTGGGCGTCACCAACAGACACTCATCCACTGTACCAGCAAATGCGAATGGTGGGGTGCCCACAGGGGCTCCGTCGAGCAGCGGTGCCCCAGTAACACAATCAGCGGAGGCAGGTGATGGAGAGGACGTGCAACAGGAAGGGGAACTAGCAATGTATGAGTTCATCCATCTGCTGGTGGAGACGCTTGATAAATATTTTGAAAATGTGTGTGAATTGGACGTCATGTTCAATGTTGAAAAGGCACATTTTATCCTGGAGGAGATGTTCGTCAACGGCGGTGTGGGGGAGACAAACAAGGTGCTTATCTTGCAACCGCTAGTGCTAATGGACAGAGAGCCCCGCAGAGTGTAGCATTGCAAAGAGGAAGTGGGAAAACCATGCTTGGCGCGGTATTCTCTCCTCTCGTAATGATACGCATTCAATGAACCGAAACACCACACAAGCACGCATGAATGCAATTTTGTGATGTTTCCTTGTATTTGCTGCTGCTGATGTTGTTGTTGCTCCTAATCTCTTTCCTCGTGTGTGTGTGTGTGNTTTGTTGGGTGGGGGGGGGGGGGGGGGGGGGGGGGGGGGGGGGGGGGGGTATTATCGCTCATTGCGTCAGAGGTGAAAAAGGAGGGAGATCGAGGATCAGACAAAAAAAGTCAAAGTGAAGGTCAGTGGGTTCTGTGTATATCCGCGGCTGTTTGCCTCCATAATGTGGTGAAGATCTCAACTATCTACTGTTGTCTTGCAATGCAAATTGAAAACACAAAAAAAAATAGTGTAAACTACAAGAAAGGCGTAGGAGCTTTTTGCTCCCGCACACATCACATCACAATCGGGACACACATATAGACTGAGAAAGGGGAGTTAAGAAAGGAGAGGAAAAGGATGGTGCTGACGCAAATTGGAGTTCGCACCGCTTACGACAAGGAGCAGGATGCTCGTGAGGCCGCCCTTTTGGAGGCGATCGCCAAGGAGAATGAAAACCCATTTCAGCATGGGGCCGAAGCGCTGTTGGGCGTGGTTGGCAAACTCTACAGCGACTACGTGTACACCTCCGGCGTGTTGCTATTGGCGTGGACGTGGTGGGGTCTTTACCCAAGCTACGCGCGCTTCCGTCACAAACACATTATGCGCTTTGGGCGCCGACGACAAGTCGACTTCCGCCGCTGGTTCTTCTACACGCGACACATACCCAAATGGGATAAGAAATATCTTCAACGTGTGGAGCTGCCGCGGCGGGTACCTTTTGAAGAAGCCGCTACGCTCAACTCACGGCAGCACGTGACTTCACCACCCACAGCGTCGCTCCTGACGGTACCACGTGAAGCCAGCTCGGCGGTTGAGATGTCTGGGAAACAAGAGGGTGTGAAAAATCCGAATGACTTTGTTAGCGTTTGTCTCACAAGTGGTGCTTCATTTGCAGGAGGAGCCCGGGGAAAACTAGAGAGCGATGTGGCTTCAGGCATTCGCGCCATCAACGAGTCATTGCAGCAGCAGCTGAATGAAAGGCGTATTTTGAGCCGAGACGCCGTGGACCCTGACCTGATACAGCATGAAGTGGAACGTCTGGTGAAGGAGGCTCGTGGCGTTATAGTGCTGAAAGAAACACATGCGACACGACGGGCAGTGCCAGTGGATCGGGAGGTGTGGTGGGTGTCGTCGGACGAGGCGCGGCGACGGCGAGAATGGTGGTTCTGGCTGCAGGTGCTCGTGGTTGCCCGTGTGATGGAGGACCTCCTCGACATGCCGGACATGCCCGATTTTGTGCAGTAGGGGATGAGTGGGGAGAAGTACAACGTGTGCGGTTGTGTGTTTGTGTGTGTGTGTGTGTGTTTGTGTCTGTGTCTGTGTGTGTGACTGGGGCATGGGTAGCTTTACAACTTTTGGCTTTTTCACCTCATCTTTTTTTGTTGCTTATATATATATATATATATGTGTGTGTATATATATACATACATGTATATATGAGTGTTTAAAGAAGTGAAAAATTATAAAAAAACACTTACTCAGAGGCAACTGCGCCGAAAGGGGTAGCGAATAGTGCAAACTTTAGCACTAGCAACAAACCTGAAAAGAGCACAGTGGTACTGCTAAGCTTGTAATGGCAGACGACGCCTCAACTTTGCACAGGTTCTGGAGCACGCAGCCGGTTCCTCAGCCTGGGGCAGCGGAGACTGAGCGGGTCGGTCCAGTAGAACGGATAAAGACGGTCGACGAGGTTTCCACTGAGCCCCTCGCGATTGCATCCACCTTTGAGTGGTGGACGCCGAATTTGGAAGATGATGATGACATGCGTGCCATTTATGAGCTGCTGCGTGACAACTACGTTGAGGATGACGACAGCATGTTCCGCTTTAACTACCCAGAAGAGTTCTTGCGCTGGGCAATGACCCCACCAGGTTACCACCCCTCGTGGCATGTGGCGGTTCGGCGCAAGCGTGACCATTTGCTGTTGGGCTTTGTCTCCGGTGTCCCTCTTAGGATGCGCATGGGCTCACCGAAGGCGCTCCTTGCATCCAAAAAGACGTCCGAGGAGCAGCAGCAAAACGAAAAAGACGCAGAAGAGAATCACCTTGAGCCTCGTATTATCTGTGAAATCAACTTCCTGTGTGTGCACAAGCAGCTGCGGGAGAAACGGATGGCACCGATTCTTATCCAGGAGGTTACACGCCGGGTGAATCTGCTGAACATATGGCAAGCCATCTACACCGCCGGTGCGCTTCTGCCCACGCCCTTTACCTCAGGAAGGTACTTCCATCGCAGTCTAAATCCCGAAAAACTTGTGGCCATAGCTTTCAGCAGGATTCCGCCGCAGTATCAAAAGTTTCAGAACCCTATGTCAATGCTGAAACGGTTCTATCAGGTGCCGGATGCGCCCAAGACACGCGGTCTGCGCCCCATGGAACCGAAGGACGTCCCGGAGGTGTGTAAGCTACTGCGAGATAGGCTCGCCACCTACGACGTGTCTCCTGTCTTCAACGAGGAAGAGGTGGCACACTACCTTCTCCCACGTGAAGAGGTTGTGGTGACCTATGTAGTGGAGCGTGAAGGTGGCAANTTCAACGAGGAAGAGGTGGCACACTACCTTCTCCCACGTGAAGAGGTTGTGGTGACCTATGTAGTGGAGCGTGAAGGTGGCAACAGTGGTGGTGAAGGAAGCTGCAGTGGCAAAAGTGGTAGCAACACCAGCGGTGGTAACGTAAAAGGAAGCAGCAAGGGCGCTGGTAAACGCATCACTGACTTCTTTTCATTCTACGCACTACCATCTACTGTTATTGGAAACAGCAAGTACTCATTGCTGAAGGCGGCCTACGTTTACTACTATGTTGCCACTAGCGTTCCTTTGTTGCAGTTGATGAACGACTTATTAATCGTTGCGTTCAAAATGGGTTTCGATGTCTGCAACCTCGTTGACATTCTTGAAAACTCATCGTTTATAGGTGATCTCAAGTTTGCCCCCGGTGATGGCAGTCTGCATTACTATTTCTACAATTGGGCGTACCCGAAGGTGCAGCCGTCCGACGTTGGTCTGGTCATGTTGTAACGTCGGTGAGAGATTTAAATAATAAGACCCCGGAGAAAACGAAAGGCACCATGAACCTGATAGCAGAAGGAATTAACACCAGAAAAAGGGTGAAAGTGATTTGAAACACAATTAGAGAATTGGGTGATATGACAAGCGCTAGAGTGCCACGAAAGGAGAAGAAGAAGAATTGGGCCAAAAAAAGAGAACTTTCAGTGTTTTGCTTGGGNGGGGGGGGGGGGGGGGGGGGAGTATGCCATGTTGAAACAGGCGTCGTCACACATTCCATTCCTCTCTGTGGTTGCGGATCAGTAGAGAACTTTGTGGCGTCCCTTTACCCCAGAAGACATGAGCAAACGTGTATGCAATCCATGGGTCCCTGTGGGTGCATATAATAGATGCCTGCTGTCCTGTAGGCCGCATGATAAGAACCCTGATGCTGCAACACCCTAAAGCAAAAATATATATGTATATGCATACCAATCTTGAGCAATGTAAGCGCTGTGTTAACTGCTGTGGATCATGTAACTCACACTTTTTCTAGGCTTCTCTTTCTTTCTTTAAGGCAGCAGTTGTGAGTTCGGGAGGTTGTATCACAACTGGTATTCTCCAGAGGACCCAAGCGAAGGGGGATAAGAAGGTGCAAAAGGAATCAAAAAAGACAAAGGCGCATCATTTGTTTGCTCCGCGCGCTTGTGGTTGTCTGCATGAGTGATGAGTGGGAATTCCGGCGCACCTCTTCCCGTCACGACGGTGATTGTGCGGCGGCAATGCTATCCACGCGTTCCTCCCGAACTTCTACTCCGAGAGCATGCAGGAAAGTTTCGTCTAACTGGTCTCACACTTGCATCTCTGCTGGATGCGATTTCACCGCGCGCGAACCCAGTGTTACCGCCATTTGTTGCACGGACAGACGTTAGTGGTGGGGCTACTGCTGAGTTCATGGACACTCTGCTCAAGGGGATTGCAAAGCGACCGCCCGTGCCGCGTGAGAATGTAAAAGAACTTGGTCCTTTAGCACAGCGGATGGAGCGGGAGGCAGCAGAAGCAAAACGGCGAGCAAACGCGGCGTCACCCACGCCGTCGTCAGCAACCGCGCTGGGAGGCCAGGAGGTTCCACAGGACGAACAAAATTATTCTGTCTTTGACCAAGCGGCCTCATCACGTCTTACTGTCTTTGAAATTGTACGTAGAACCAATGGTAGTAGAAAAGCCAGCGGTAAAGCAACGGTGCAAGACGAACATGATGTGGAAGCACGGCACTCCATGCGGAGTGTGTCGACGCACCACGATCCGGCACTTGAGGAATACGAGGCGGTGTGGGGTTATGACACTGGGGCAGTGGTGCACATGAATTTGCACGCATTCGCAGATGATCTCCACGTCCGCCGCCAATACGCAGCGTTACCGCCGCGGCGTCGGGGAATGCACTTGGAGTTGCAACAGAGTAAAGAAGGGAAAGTGGGTGTTGTGGACGAATTGGATCACAGCTCCAGTTCAATTATGGAGCAACAAGAATCCAGTACTGAATCAGATGTCTCTGGTGAAGAGTTCGATGATGTTTTCTATAGCCTCAGTGAGCGCGCACCCCGTGGTGTTTCATTGCTGGGTTACCATCCGGTTGGTGGTGTATGCTGTATCGTGTATGATGCACGTAATGATCTAGCAATATCTGGTGGGGCTGACGGTACGCTATTGGTGTGGGATTTGCACCAAAGATACAGAACGGCCCTCCGAGAGCGATACAATAAAGAGGAGGAAACCCGCAACGCACGCCCGACACAACAATTCTCAACCTATGTGCACACCCGGCGACTGGCACAGAATATCCGCCACGCTCACAGCGGTGGTATCAGTACCCTTGCCACCCATTGTGAGCTGCTGATCAGTGGTGGGGTAGATGGCACCGTGAAGGTATGGGCAAGTGACGAACCAGCTAGCGCCATTGCCCACAGTGCTCCGCCACTGTATGTTGGGCGCCAAGTCTTTCGATGCGGCGGTTGGATACGGCATATTTGGTGTTCACCTGGACGTAATGTTCAGGGTGAAGACGTCTTGGTCTCAAGCGAGAGTGGCTGCATCACAGGTTTCAGGGGTTTTACAGTGTCGCAGCAGCCCCTTCTGCAGAGTCCAAAAGGGCGAAGGAAGACGCTCTTGGACGCCCTCCGCAATCCACATGGCCCACTCACAAAACCGGAATCTGATATTAAGCAGAAAACCGGATCCCCACCAACAGGAGGAATACCCCTGTCTAGCCGCACCGGTGCGAAGGAAAGCTACGGGCAGGACGAGGATTCTGTACGAAAGAAGGACCACAGTGAGAATCGTGCGCTTCGGCTCCTCCATCGAGGCCTTATTTCACGCGCACTGCGCATGACGCGGACCCTTCAAACCCTCAGCGAAGAGGCGCGTTTGGCGAGCGCTCCTGGTAGCCGTTTTCGCGTAAAGGAGGAAAGCACAAGCGCCATCACGCGGCTCATTCCTCTTGTGGAGCGTAATTTGTTCATTACCGTGGGTTATAGCCCTTTGGTACGGTTCCTTGATATGACCCGGTTGGGCGTCGCGGCGGTAGTGGAGCATCCGAGTTTGAGTGCTGCTGGTGGTGGGAGTGATGGCAAGCGCGGCGGCGGTACCCAATCGACCTCTACGGAGCAGCAGCAGCAACAACAACAGGAAGGTGGAAAAATGCAATACAACAACAGTAGCAACAGCCGCACGGTGAGTAACGGTGAGGATGGGGTTACAAATGGTAACGATGAGGCGCTGCGTTTCATAGACCTGCTCTATGTTTCTTCGTGTGACTATTTGCTACTGCTAGACAACCGCAATACTGTATTTGTGTGGGACAACGCATCTAATGCTATGCTTACCTCTTGGACTGTTCCCACTGTGAGTGACGGCGGAAAACGCAATATTGCATTGCGGTTAATGCCGTGCGGCACACGACACTATGAAAGTGCTGGAGCTAATAACGGCATACCCACTCGGAGACGAAAAATGTACAGACCTCAACGACGGGTGGCATGTTTTTATCAACAGCGAAGCGATATAGAAGAAGCATTGAAGGTTGAAGACGAGGAACCGATGGGCGCGATAAAGATACCCTTTTTTGTTGCTTGCACCATGGGAATGGAGTTGTGCGACGTTGAAATTGCGGAACATGCTCGGCTGGAATTTAAAGCACACGAAGATGCCATTGTGGGAATTTTCCTTCGCCCAGGGGCCCCATTGCCATCGCGTGACGCTTTGAAGGCGCATACACACACACTTCTTGGTAATGAGATCCTGAAGGAATCTGTGTTCCCCAAAAAGCATGGCCCTTTGCTTTGCACAGCTGGTGCCAGGGCGGCAGGAAGTGCGGGCACCTTCCGCTTTGGAGATGGTATACACGGTTGCGGCGACAAGGACAGCATTAACACCCAGGAGGATGAGTTGAAAAGTACCGATACTGCATCGTCGTGGTTTCAGCAATCACTGCGAGAGGCAGATGATGGTGACCGTCTCCGCATGATTTCCTGCTCCGTGGATGGTGCCATTCGTTTCTGGGGAGATTCCTTTGAGCCTATCCGTGCGTACCACCATCAAGAACTCTCCAAGGAAGCAGACCTCTGCACAACCATTCCGCACAAGCCGCTTGAATATGACGGTGCTCTTTCCCCTTTCGAAGTGCCCCCTCGCGTCATACGAAACAAACGGAGCGGATCAGCGCTTGAAGTACAGATTGCCGGCTGCGATGACACGACAAGTGTTTATTTCAGTAACCGTTGGCACCTTGTTGTGACAGGGCACGACGACGGGAGTATCCGTTATTGGCCGTGCGATCAACAGGTTGCGACATGTGCATGGCACAAGGGGCTTCATCGCAACACCGTGTCTGGCCTCGTTGGAGCTCACATCGCGAGAAGCGAGGGGCGTCGGCGCACAGTTGCGCGGCAAAAACCATTTAACGAAGATTCTGGACGAACGGAGCCTATTGAACTGCTTGCAACTGTATCTTTTGATGGTTACTTGGCGGTTTGGGAATATCCCGAGCAGGCCAAGGCACAGCCGCACGGCCGCACTCGTGTTAGTCAAAATGAACTTCATTGTGTCTCATTTGATGAGACCAACAAGTTGTTTATTGTTGGTGATGGCGGTGGCACCATTACCTCTTGGGACGCGCGAGACTTGGAGCCGCGCCGTTCTATTCCATCGCGACCGCCGTCGCCTTGGCGGCCAGCCAATCCCCCGCCACACCTAGTTTTTTTGCCGCGTCCACAGCAGCAGCCGCAGTTGCGCAAACATGGCAGTTTCATGCAACCAGCCAAGAAAAAGCGGGTCGGCCACACGGAAGCAGTCACAACACTCCTTGTGGACGGCAATTTTGTCTTCTCTGGGGGTGAGGATGGGCGTGTGATTTTGTGGGATATGAATGCCGGCGTTTTGGTGCGGGAATACTTTTTGCTGCACGACACCGGGGCCATCGCAGAGCACCGAAGGCGGTCGGAATCAATTTCAAACATGTACAGTTCAACAATTGGCAGTAACCATGATAACCCGCGGTCAACTTTACCTGGCGGTCTTCCCGCCAAGGCGGTGTCGTACCATCGGCCCGGGGAAGTCGCCTCCCTCGCGTTGCTCAAGCGCCGCCGCGGAGACTTGATCGCCGCCACGCGCGAAGGATGGCTTTACCACTTTCACCAGCACAGGGAATACCCCCATTCCACGTACAGACACAATTCCCCTATACGGTGCATTTGCGTCACGCGGGAGGGGCGGGAGGGGGATGAAGAAAGCGACTCTGTCGAAGAGCCGGGGGAAGACGGGGGCTGCCTTTTGGATGGGGGTGACCGCTCGTTTGAAGTGGCGGTTGGCGGGGAAGGAGGAAGAATCGCGTTGGTGAGGGAAACATGTTTTTCGGCCGCCCTTTGAGAGGCCGACCAAAAGAAAACAACGAAGCCGAAAAAAAAAAGGTTTTTACCAACGCCCCCGCCGCGCGACATCGAGCCCTCCCACCCACCACTCGTTTCGCCTGAATTCCTTTCTTTCGACCTTTCCTTTCCTTTTTTTCCTCGTTTGTGCCGCAGGAAAAAGCATGGCGCTGCGCCCCGCCCCGCCCCCTCGCACATGGGGTGGGGGCGCCGGTGCCCTACGGGGGCCGCTTCCCACCGCCCCCTCTTCCGGTGGCG